CCCGCACCCCTGTCCCCCAAGGCCACACCCTGCGATGCTCAGGGTTTCCTCCTGGGTCTGCACTCAGGAATCACTCCTGGTGGTGCTCGGGGGACCTTCGTATGGGATGCTGGGGAATGAACCCAGGTCGGCTGCCTGCAAGGTAAACACACTCCCTGCTGTACTATCACTCGGGTCCCCTCTCTAGTTTTTTATGACAACTTAAAAGTCCCACTCTGCCCCAACCTCACTAGAGGTCAATAGGGCCCGCCTGGGAGAGCATCCCAATAAACTTCTCCTGTTTCTTCCCTCTCCTTCCTCCCTCTCCCACTTCCTTTGTCTCCACTGTCTCTACCCCTCTGTCTGCACCAATACAGTGTCACCGGGAAATTCTAACAAACATCCAAAGGGTGAAGCCCTGACCTCAAACTCCTCCAAAGCCTAAAGAGGCCAGGAGGGCACACTTCCAGACTCTCTTGGTAAGGCTGTAGCACCCCGATATCTTTGGCATTTTTTTTAATAGTGAATCATCGTGAGGAACAGTTACAGACTTACAAACTTTCGTGCTTGCGTTTCAGTCATACAGTGATCAAGTACCCATCCCTCCCCCAGTGCCCATTCTCCACCACCAATGATCTCAGCATCCCTCCCACCACCTGTACCCCATCACCCCCCAAACCCTGCTTCTGAGCAGGGCATTCCCTTTTGTTCTCCCTTTCTTTTTGGGTGTCATAATTTGCAATGGAGGCATTGAGTGGCCATTGTGTTCAATCTTTTGTCTACTTTCAGCATGCATCTCCCAACCCTAACGGATCCTCCAAACAGCCTTTGCTTGGTGTTCCCCTCTCTATCTGAGCTGCCTTTTCCCCCAGCATGTGAGGCCAGCTTCCAAGTCGTGGAGTAAACCTCCTGGTCCTTATCTCTACTATTCTTGGGTGTTAGTCTCCCATTCTGTTACTTTATATTCCACAGATGAGTGCAATCTTTCTATGTCTGTCCCTCTCTTTCTGACTCATTTCACTTAACATGATACTTTCCATGTTGATCCACTTATATGCAACTTTAGTATTGTTTTAAAATTAAATCATCGTGATACAAATACTTACAAAGTTGTCCAAGGTTGGGTTTCAGTCATCAAATCACTCTGCTATCTATGAAATGTGTCCACACCCCAATATGTGACCTCGATGGGTTTCTGCTAAGAGCCAAGTTCAGGTGACAGAGAAGAGCAATCACCTCACGGGCTCTGGGTGCATCTCCCTGACACCCAGGATTTTCCCTGACATACCTCACGCTAATCAGGAACCCACTGGATTATGACGGATGCCCAGGAGTAAATATTATTCGGGGTCAACTCCCATGTTACAAAAGCATAACATCAACTGTCTTCCTGTGTCTATACAAAAAGGATATTGCTAACCATGCAAAGGACAATAAAGGAAAAAGAAAAAGTGATATTTCACTTGAGAGCTTGTTTGGAGGTTCTAGCAGGGGAGCGCAGCTACTCGTATACCCTCGACCGAAGACCGGTCCGTCTCTATTCGGGGAAGGCTGTCCTCTTCGACCGAGTGAGCAGCTTCGGGAGGGACGCACATGGAGCGGTGAGGGAGGAAGGGAACACCCGCCTAGCCAGCCAGATCAGCCGAATCAACCCTGGCTATCAATGGGGTGACAGATGTCGCAGCCAGATTGCCCTCACATTCTTACTTTCTCATTCTTACTTTGGACAATCTGGCAGGCTACCAAATGTAACCTGCCCACACACGGCAGAGTCTGGCAAACTCCCCGTAGCGGACCCAGTATGCCAAATACCAGTAACAATGATGAGTCTCATTCTCCTAACCCTGAAAGAGCCTTGAATATGGCACTTTTTAAAATCTCAGGGCTAGGACGAAGGAGACGTTACTGGTGCCTGCTCGAGGCAATCGACGAACAACAGGATGATTGTGATCGTGATCGTGATATTTCACTTACATATACAAAACCCAAAGCCCTCAGAAGAACTCAACTTTACAAGTCACAGGATCTGATTTAGGGACGTAAGTTGTTCGACTATAGCTCCAAATATTTTAGGCTTAACATTGGTTTGCCTTTCCCCCCTTGCCACAAGGAACTCAGTTGTATCACAGTGCTCCTGAGGCACTTCCATTCCATTGTGTTTATCTGTAAACTCTTCTCTATGCTCTCCTCCCCACCCAGTTAATCATCATTTCCCCTAATCAGTAACTGTTAATTTGTAAGGTTAAATCCTTCTGGGACACTGAACTTGTATTGTAAGTTAATATTGCCTTTCTCCTCTCCTTATGTCTTATGGAATAGTTTACTTTAAAGCAATGTTCTTTTTGTATAGATATAGAAAGACAGTTAATATTATGCTTTTGTAACTTAGGATTTAACTGGCTTTGAATATTACTCACTCCCAGGCATCTGCTTTCTCGACTTAAGCCTCCGTTGCCCTTAGTTCCTAGCACCCCAAAAGCAGGGTCCTGACGAGGGACTGAATGGACCCAGAGAAGCTGTGAGCTATCCTGGCATCGAAATGGGCCAGGCCAAAGCGCCACGATTCTTAACTATAAGTTAAGAGTTTGATCATAGACAAATGCTGTCATGGTCCAAAAGTAACGATGAGACTAGGACCCGGCAAGGGATAGGAAAGACTATCTGGCCTGAGCACTGTAGTCTGAGATTGAAATGACCCTAGGAGAGCAATTCTATAAACTTAATGTATCTCTTACTGTGTCCATACAAAATGATTAATATTATGAATGCTTATATGTTTGTTGGACAAGGAGAGGAGAAACACACCCAGGGGATTCCCTCTAGGGTGCGTCATCCTGTTGAGAGAGTGTCTGTCCTAGAAGTGGCTTTTCCCGAGGAAAAGAACTCTACCCTCATTGATTGTGACCACACCTATGTGTAACTGTTACCCCAACCCCTCATGGTTTGGGGATATAACTAGACAGTAAGAGTGGGCTGGGGAATCAGGATCCAGACTCCAGAAGGAAGAGAAAGGGATCCAGATTCCAGAGCCAGAAGGAGAATGAAGGGGGAATTGAGGAAGAGAATGAAGTAGCATGGGGGAGGAAGAAGCAGGAGGAGAAATAGAGAAGAATGGAGATGGGACTGGAATAAGCTGCAACTAAGACCAACCAGCCTGGCCCTCGTTCCTTCCTGGACCTGTCCATCACCATCGACCTGCCGGGGATGGGGGAGCTGGCGTGAGACTACCGAACACGGGCAGCGGGAGAGATAGACCACTGCTGCCGTTTTTTTGAGTTTTCACAATAAGTGATTAACAGTTAGGGGAGGAAGAGCACAGAGAAGTTAAAGATGAACACAGAGGATTGGGAGTGCCTGATGGGTGCCTTGGGAGCATTGTGACAGGTGTAACTCGATAAACCTAAGATCCCTGTGAGAGGAGCAAGGACAAACTAATGCTATCCAACACATGAGTGCATGAATGAAGATGGGTGCAAGAATGATGGGTGGACACACACAGGCGTAGATGGGTGGATGGATGGATGGAAGGGGAGGTGGGTGGGTGAATAGGAGGGTTAGTTAACATTTAACTGGTTAATTTTTTTTCTTGCTTTTTGGGTCATACCTGGCAATGCACAGGGGTCACTCCTGGCTCTGCACTCAGGAATTACTCCTGGCGGTGCTCAGGGGACCATACGGGATGCTGGGATCTGAACCCGGGTCGGCCACATGCAAGGCAAACGCCTACCCGCTGTGCTATCTCTCCAGCCCCCTAACTGGTTAATTTAATAATTAGTTAAAGACACGAGGAGAAGGCGAGGCAGATAAAGAGGTGGATGGATAGATGAAGAGACAGATGGAATCCTGACAGGTTCAGGAGGAAATCATTTACCGAGGAGCTGCCAAATTTGCCCTCTCTGCCCTCCCTAGGGTGAGATGTTCCTGACGAGGAGGTCTTGTTGAACTGGAACGGCATCACGGGTTTGTGGCAGAGATTCTGTTATCCCGGTTTTACAGTGAAGAAATTAGATTCGAAGAAGGAATTAGAAGCGAAGTGAATGGTCTAAGGTCACCGTTTATTCTAGCGAGGCTGGAGAGGATGTCAGGGCTACAGGTGCTGGCAGTCCAGTGGCCCCAAGGTCACTGATAACTCCAAGTTCTGTTCTGAGGCCCTGGAGGAGACCTCGTCCCTCTTGGGACCTCAGGATCTTTGTTTGGACTCAACTTCTGGGTGATTCCTTCTTGGTGATGTGGTGGATGTAAATCTCTCCTCCCCGTCTTGCAGGACAGACACCCCCTCATCCTCCCCGCCATTTGGGGAGTCAACAGGCAGAAACAGGGCTGGGAAGATTGCTCAAGTGACTGAGCCTAGCATCTCTCACACCCTGATTTTCCTCTCGGGCACCATGTGGCCCCTGGGCCCAGGTAGGCATGAGCACTGCCAGCCTATACCAGGCAGAGCTCTGCTAGGAGTTTGCCCAATACAAGCCCCCCTCCCCCAAATAATAAAGTGCAGAGATCCAGGAAAGTGGCTTAGTGGCAAAGTGTATGGCTTCATGCTTTCAATGCAAGGGACCTGAGTTCAATTCCAACTAGTGATAATAAAAAAACAAACAAATACTGGGGCCATAAGATAGTACAGTGGGAAGGGCACTGACCTTGCATGCGGCCAATCCGGGTTCAATCCCCGGCATCCCCTATGGTCCCCCGAGCCCACCAGGAGTGATTCCCGACTTCAGAAACAAAGTAACCCATAAACACCTCGGGGTGTGTCCCTAAAGCCAAAAAAAAAAAAAAAAAGGGACAGTGCAGGGGCTGAAGCAATAGCACAGCGGGTAAGGCGTTTGTCTTGCATGGAGCCGACTCGGGTTTGATGCTCAGCATCCCATATGGTTCCCTGAGCACCATCAGGAGTAATTCCTGAGTGCAGAGCCAGGAGTAAGCTCTGAGCATTGCCGGGTGTGAGTACAGAGACACCCCTGCTAATGGTTAACTAGCGGGCACATATAAGGCACCGCCACAGCTGACCGAGATGCCGCAGGATGCAGTGGGTGAAGGTGCTTTTGGGTGTCGTGGGGGCTGCCGCCTTTCTAGGGCTGGGGATCATCCTGGGCCACTATGTGGTTCCCAAGGGGGACAGCAGTCCTCCAAAGGAGACAGTCTCCCAGAAACTGGACTTTCAGGTCCTGGAGACGGTCATGGCCCAGCTGGACACCGTGCGGATCAGGGACAACCTCAGGTGAGTTCCAGGGTGCGTACTCCACCCACAGCCTCCCTTGGCCCCATCCCGCCGGCCTGACCGGGGGTCTCTCCCTCACCCCACAGGGAACTCTCCCGGGAGCCCCACCTGGCCACCACCCCGCAGGACGAGAAGCTAGTGCAGCTGCTGCTACAGCGTTGGAGGAACCCAGAGTCGGGGCTGGACGCAGCCGAGGCCTGCCAGTACGAAGTGCTGCTGTCCTTCCCCAGGAGGGGCAGCCCAACACCGTGACCGTGGGTGAGGACCTGCTTGGTCGCAGGAACGCCCGGGGTTGGGGGAGTTGCTGGGTCAGCCCTGACCCCCAAAATCCCTCCACAGTGGATCCCGCTGGCAAAACTCTCTTCTCCTGCCGCCAGAAGGAGAAGAACCTGACAGGGGAGCAGGAGGACCCCAACGTGGTGCCCCCTTATGCTGCTTATGGTCCGGGCGGAAATGTAAAGGTGTGTCAGGAAGTCCCTACGTCACAGTCCTCACTGCAGACTCCATCCATCCACACTCAGTCTTTTCTTTTTTTTTTTTTGCTTTTTGGGTCACACCTGGCAATGCACAGGGGTTACTTGGCCCATGCACTCAGGAGTTACTCCTGGCGATGCTCAGGGGACCATATGGGATGCTGGGAATTGAACCCGGGTTGGCTGCGTGCAAGGCAAACGCCTTACCCTCTGTGCTATCTCTCCAGCCCCTCACACTCAGTCTTTTAACCAACCCTCCTGGGGTCGGAGCGATAGTACAGCAGGGAGGGCGTTTGCCTTGCATGCAGCTGACCCAAGTTCAATCCCCGGCATCCCATGTGGTCCCCCTGGAGCACTGCCAGGAGTTATTCCTGAGTGCAGAGCCAGGAGTAAGCCCTGAGCATCGCCGGGTGTGACCCAAAAAGTGAAAACATAAACTCAATAAAACATTCAAAACAAAACAAAACCCTCCTGGCAGGCCTGAGGCTGCCACTCTGTCCCCCCCTAGGGAGCTGGCAGGGAACCCAGAATCAATGGTGGCGCTCCCTGTCCCTCCCCTCTGCCCCCACCCCCACCTTGCCCTGAGACTTATCTCTCTCATTAGGGCTTCCTGGTCTATGCCAACCGAGGCACGGATGAAGACTTCAGGGTGCTCCGTGACAGAGGCTTGGATCTCAGGAACACGATTGCTCTGACCCGTTATGGGGGTGCTGGGCGTGGGGAAAAGGTGAGTCACCTTCTGCGCGGGGCTGGGGAGTTAAGGGGTCCTGGGGGGGGCAGGCAGGAAGGGATGAAGCTGTGTTTGTGTCTGCTGTCAGGGCTGGCGTGTCCCTGGGCAGTGGAAACTGCCATTTTGTTCTTCTGGGCACAAATCCCTGAGCAGTGCTTTACCTAAGCACCCCCTAAAAGTGCTCGTGGCACCTCCCACCCCCACCCAGTTTGAGTCTGGCCCATGGCAACTTGGGGCCAGGCATTTGGAGGGTTGGTTTGATTTGGAGGGGGTGTCACACCTGGCAGTGTTCAGGGCTAGGCCCAGCTTGTCCCTCATTGTCGTTCCTGTCAGAGCTCAGGGAACCGTTTTTTTTTTTTTTCTCTTTGGGCCACACCTGGCGATCTGGCGATGCACAGGGGCTACTCCTGGTTCTGCACTCAGGAATTACTCCTGGTGGTGCTCGAGGGACCCTATGGGATGCTGGGTATCGAACCCTGGTCAGCCGCGTGCAAGGCAAACACCCTACCCGCTGTGCTGTCTCTCCAGCCCCAGGGGACCGTTTGTGGTGCTGGTGACCAAACCCGGGGCAAGCGAAGCATAAGCTTCAACCCCTGGACCCCAGGCGCAGAAGGGTTGGAAACCGCTGTTCGGTGCCTTCCTTCACTCTGCCAGTGTGGGACAGGCAGTGTCTGCAGGAGTCAAAAGGCTGAAGAACACAGCCGTCACGCACTGAGCTCTCACTAGTGTCGTTTTTTTTTTTTTTTGCGGGGTGCCGGTTTCTGGACCTCTTTCCCATGGTTCTTAGGGGACAACACAGTTCTGGGGATCAGCCCTGGGGATCCGCCGTGCATGCCAGCCACGGAGCTATCTGCCAGGCCCTTGACTAAGGATTGTGATGTATTCATGGCTCACACTGATTTTTCTTTCCTTTTTTCTTTTTGGAGCGATAGCACAGCGGTAGGGCGTTCGCCTTACAAGCGGCCAACATGGCCGACCCGAGTTCGATTCCTCCGCCCCTCTCGGAGAGCCCGGCAAGCTACCGAGAGTATTCGATATGCCAGACACAGTAACAACAAAGTCTCCAATGGAGACGTTACTGGGTCCGCTCGAGCAAATCGATGATCAACGGGAGGGCTTTTACCTTTACCTTTACCTTTTTCTTTTTGGGGAGCAGAGTTGGGCCACACCAGGGGCTATTTTTGTTTCTATGCTCAGAAGTGACCCCTGGCCATGCTCAGGGCTTTGGACAGAGGTTGGGCGGCTGCAATGCCACCACCTTATCCCTTCTGCTCTCTATCCGGCCCAAACTGTGTTTCTAAAGAGGAAGGTGAACGAGGAAATGGGAGTTGGCGCGAAGGGTGAAGAGTTTCAGATCTGCAAAATCAAGAAATCAAGGATGTTCTAGAGGGGCTGGAGCGATAGCACAGCGGGTAGAACGTTTGCCTTGCACGCAGCCAACATGGCCGACACAGGTTCAATTCCCAGCATCCCATATGGTCCCCTGAGCATGGCCAGGAATAATTCCTGAGTGCACGAGCCAGGAGTAACCCCTGAGCATCGTTGGGTGTGACCCAAAAAGCAAAAAAAAAAAAAAAGAATGTTCTAGAGCATGGTGGTGGTGGTGTTTGCACATTGATGAGAAGAATTTCCTAAATAGCGCTGAATTGCACACTTTATTTTTGTTTTTGTTTTTTTTTTGTTTGGGGGCCACACCCAGCAGTGCTCAGGGACCACCCCTGGAAGTGCTTGGGTGACCATAGTGGGTGCGAGGGATTGAACCTGGGTCAGTTGCATGCAGGGCAAGCGTCTTCTTTTTTTTTGTTCCTCACCCCCTCCTTCCTAAGGCAAGTATCTTCCCCGCAATACTATCTCACCAGCCCTTGTTTAAACATTTTTTTTTTGCTTTTTGGGTCACACCCAGTGATGCTCAGGGGTTACTCCTGGTTCTGCACTCAGGAGTTACTCCTGGCGGTGCTCAGGGGCCATATGGGATGCTGGGAATCGAACCTGGGTTGACCGCGTGCAAGGCAAATGCCCTACCTGCTGTGCTATCACTCCAGCCCCTGTCTAAACATTTTAATTAAGTAATAGATCTCATAGAGCTGGGGATGGAACCCCGGGCCTCACACATTGCACACGCAAGGCAGATGCTCTTTTGCTGAGCCCCAGCCCCAAAGTGGAAAAAATTCAGCTAGAATGTCTTCCTCTGAAGAGGGAACTATCAAACTTTTAGTGCAGGAGAATTATCTGCCCTCCTCATGCCAAAGATCACTCTGGATTGCTCAGAGATTATTCTTACCTGTGGGAACTTTGTTTTATGGGTTCCCACTCACCTATGGCCGCCCATCTGGGTCAATTCCACCTTTGGACCCTGGGCGGGAACAAGCCGTGCACACCCAATGTTGTTCCACCCATGGAGAAATTGGTGTGGGGGTTTCCTGCTCATCAGCCACACCCTCTGAGAAACACAGCCTGTACCCCCACAAGCTTTTATTGGGGGAGGGGACCATCCCTGAAGGGGCTCAGGGCACCCTCTGTGGTTCTGGGGCTCAGCTGCGTGCAAAATAAGCACCTTCCCTGCTGCACGGTCTGTTCGACCCGGCACCCCCGGTTTTGATCTCAGGCAGTATCAGGACACGCAGGGGGCAGCGCACTGGTGGGCAGGGGGGTCTGTCTCTCTTCCACAGCCAGGGAGCCCCCCCCTCACAGTCCCTGGCCCTCTGTCCTCAGGCCATCAACGCTTTCAAGTACGGGGTGGCGGGTGTGCTGGTCTACACGGACCCCGCCAACATCAATGATGGCAGGAGCCAGGAAAATGAAACCTTCCCACACTCCTGGTACATGCCTCCGTCGGGGGTGGAGCGAGGCTCCTTCTCTGAGAACTTTGGGGATCCCCTGACGCCCTATCTTCCAGCGACCCCCTCCTCCTTCCGCCTGGACCAGGGCAGCGTCCCGGGGCTCCCCCCGATTCCCATTCAGCCCATTAGCTTCGAGGATGCCAAGATGCTTCTCTGGTGAGCTGGGACCCTGGGGGCTCCCCTGGTCCCCGGCCTCTGAACTTCACCCCGATGACACCCAGGCTAACCCTGTGGGTGTCCCCCCATCCCACAGTAACCTCCAGGGAGGCCCAGCACCCGATTCCTGGCAGGGTGCTCTGGGCTGTGAGTACAAGCTGGGGCCCGGCTTCATGTACGGAAACTTCTCTGAAGACAGGTGAGATGGGGCACCCCAAGACGCAGCCCGCTTCCCTCGCCAGCTTCCCCCATCCCTCCTCTTTCCTCATCCACCAAGAGCAGACAAGAAGCGGGGCGTCTGCAAGATCCTGTGGGGCTCCCCTCTCCCTCAGCCCCACTCCCAGCCACCCCCCGTCAGGGCCCCCGCACCCTTTTTTGTCCCTGCCTGCTTGAACTCTCCACCATCCCATCTCCGTGGCTTCTTCGTGTCCTCCTGGTCACCTCCTGGGGTTCTTCCCTGTCCTCAGGAGAGGGGGCCCCCCGAGGGCAGGGTTCGGGGGGGCGGTCATTGCCCAGATCTTAGTTTGGTGTTGGCCCACACTGAGTGTCCCATGCAGATTTACCCGGGGAATGATCCAGTGAGTGAGTCAGAGGCAGTGAACGAGGAATGAAGGAGAGTGAGTAAGGGGGGAGGATGAGAGTGAACGAGTGAAGGAGTGTGAGTAAATGAGTGAACGAGTGAGTGAATGAGTGAATGAGTGAAGGAGTGTGAGTAAATGAGTGAATGAGTATAAGTGAATGAGTGAACGAGTGAGTGAATGAGTGAATGAGTGTGAGTGAATGAGCGAACGAGTGAGTGAATGAGTGAACGAGTGAGTGAATGAGTGAAGGAGTGAATGAGTGTGGGTGAATGAGTGAATGAGTGAACGAGTGAGTGAGTGAATGAGTGAAGGAGTGACTGAGTGTGGGTGAATGAGTGAAGGAGTGAATGAGTGTGGGTGAATGAGTGAATGAGTGAACGAGTGAGTGAGTGAATGAGTGAAGGAGTGACTGAGTGTGGGTGAATGAGTGAAGGAGTGAGTGAGTGAATGAGTGAAGGGGTGAATGAGTGAATGAGTGAACGAGTGAGTGAATGAGTGAACGAGTGAATGAGTGAAGGAGTGAACGAGTGAGTGAACGAGTGAGTGAGTGAATGAGTGAATGAGTGAACGAGTGAGTGAATGAGTGAACGAGCGAATGAGTGTGAGCGCACCAACACGGATGAGTTCTGGGTCGCCGGCTCCCTGCCCTGGGGGCCCCTCCCAACCCTGCTCTCCTCAGTGGCACCTGCACCGGGCTGGGGGGCAGTGCCGCGCCCCTCACCACCCCTCACACCCCTCAGCAAGGTGAACATGAGTATCCACAATTACGTCGAGCTGCGCAACTCCTCCAACGTCCTGGGGATCATCCGGGGGGCTGTGGAGCCTGGTGAGTACCGCCCCAGCCCGCTCCCCGAGCCCAGCCCTGCCCCCGCCACCCCCTGCCCTGCCCTACCCCCCACTACCACCCCCCACCCACTCCGCTGCCTCACTTGCCGTCCCCTCCCCCAGACCGCTACGTGATCTACGGGAACCACAGGGACAGCTGGGTACACGGGGCCGTGGACCCCAGCAGTGGCACGGCTGTCCTCCTGGAGCTCACCCGGGTCCTGGGGACCCTGCTGAAGAAGGGTGAGCTGGTCCCCTCCCCTTGGTCCTCTCCAGCTGGGACAAGGGTCACCTCCCTGAGCTGGGGCACTTCCTGTCTCTCCTCCTCCTGCTCCCTCTCCTCCTCAGTCACCCCTCTAAGCGGGGCAGCAGGGACATGGCTCTGGCCTCAGGTCACCAGGGTGGGGCCGGGGACAGTCATACGACAGCAGCAGTGACCCCTGCAATGGAGTCAGGCCATGCCCATCTGCTGGACAATCACTTAATCACTTAATCACTTAACTTCCCGTTAGTCGTCGATTTGCTCGAGTGGGCGCCAGTAACGTCTCCATTTGTCCCTGTCGCGTGCTAGTGTAGCCCAATGGCATCTCTTCGCTCCGGGAACATGGAGGGCCTCAAACCGATCGTTCATGACCTTGACAAAGAAGTCTGACCATCTGGTAGGTGGGCGGCCACGCGGTCTCTTGACATCCCGTGGAATCCAATCAGTAACAGCTCTAGTCCAACGGTCGTCTTTAAATCTCATTACGTGACCAGCCCATCTGATTTTCGACACCTTGGCAAATGAGACAGCGTCCCTGATCCTTGATCGTCGACGGATGTCAGAACTCCAGATTCGTTCTCTCATTTGAGTGAAACGTGATATTCCAAGCATAGCTCTTTCTATTCTTCTTTGGGAGACCTGAATGGCGTTCTCATCTTGTTTGCGTAGGGCCCAGGTCTCTGAGGCATATGTTAATGCAGGAAGAACAGTGGAATCAAAGAGATGTGCCCGGAGCCGGAGGTTCTTCGTCCTCTTAGCTATTTCTTCGACGTTCTTGAAGGCGTTCCAAGCCGCTCTCTTCCCCCTGCGCAGCTCGGGTGCCAGGTCATTTGTCATGTTGACTTCTCAACCTAGGTACACATAGCTGTTGTATTCGGAGATGGTCGTTCCGTTGAGAGCGAATGGGGCGTCAGGAACGAGGCTGTTTCTCATAAACGTTGTCTTCGTAAGATTCAGCTGTAGTCCTACCTTTCCACACTCACGGTCAAAGTCGGCCAGCATTTGTGCCGCTTGGCTGATGTTTGGTGTTATTAAAACAATGTCATCAGCAAAGCGTAGGTGGTGTAATTGCCGACCATCTATCTTCACTCCCATTCCTTCCCATTCCAGTCGTCGCATGATGTTCTCGAGGGTGGCACTGAAGAGTTTTGGTGAAATGGTATCACCCTGCCGCACCCCTCTCTTGACATCAACGATCACTTCTTTGTAGAATGGTGAGATCCTGGTAGTGAATCCGCAATACAGCTCACGGAGGATCCTGATGTATTGGGCTTGAATGCCCTGATTGGCTAGGGCTTCAATGACCGCTTCCGTCTCAACAGAATCAAAGGCCTTCTTTAAATCAATGAACGTTAAGCAGAGCGGCATCTTGAACTCCCGAGAAACCTCAATGAGTTTGGTTATCGTGTGGATATGGTCGATGGTGCTGAATCCTTTGCGGAACCCTGCTTGCTCACATGGTTGTCCTTCATCTAATGTTCTGCCAATCCTATTCAGGATGACTCGAGTGAACAACTTGTAGATGACAGACAATAGGCAGATCGGGCGATAGTTGCCAATGTCATGGATGTCTCCCTTCTTGAACAGTAGTACGGTCCTGCTGGTTTTCCATTGAGATGGAACCTTGCATTCAGACAGGTAGCGAGTGAAGAGCCGAGCCAGTGTATTGATGAGTACTGACGGCAGGTTCTTCAGGTGTTCAGGTCTGACCTTGTCTGGGCCGGGTGCTGTTTGCTTCTTTACTGATGAAATGGCGTGTCGGATTTCAGAAGGGAGAACGTTGGGAACGACATACCCATCCTGTGGAATTTGGTATGTCGGCAAGTGGACATGGCTATCGAAGAGATTTGAGTAGAAGTCATGGATAATCTTCTCCATTGCCGTTCTGGAGGATGTGATGGATCCATCAGGACGTCGGAGGGCAGTCATCTTGGTCTTATAGTTGGCGAAGGACAGGCGGGCGTTACGAATACTTTTCCCGGCTTCTGCCGCATCTACCAGTACTTCTTCTCTTCTCTCTTTGAGGTCTTCCTTGATCACATCTCTGCACTGCTTTGCGAGCTCGGACGTTAGCTTGCGGTTGCCTGAGGCATGCGCCAAACCACGCTGGCGAATTAGCTCAAGAGTTTTCGAAGATAGGCGATTTTTTGTGGCTATCTCTCTCTTGGCGTTCCTCGCACATTCATGGAGGTGCTGAACCAGTCGATCGTATTCCTCGTCAATGTTGTCAACAATGGCATCTTCCCATGTTGCCGCAATAGTACCAAAGAGTTCCCAGTTGGTGGTCGTTCTGGGAGTTCTCTTTTTGAACTTTGCAGCCCTTTCTCCCCGCTCTGTGAAGTAGAATTTTGCACGAAGGAGACGGTGGTCCGATCCCGTTCGAAATTTTGGGACAACAGCGACATCAGTCAGGCAAAACCGTCGATTGAATATGATGTGGTCTATTTCGTTGTGGAATCGTCCACCGGGAGACTCCCATGTCCATCGTTTAGATTCTGCCTTCTGGAACTGTGAGTTACCATGAATGGTCTTGGTCGACATGATGAACTCAGACAGTCTCTCACCCTGTTCGTTCCATTCTAGGCCATGGGTTCCAATGTGAAGTTCTTCAGCTGATCTTTTCGGTCCTATCTTGGCATTAAAATCACCCACAATGATCTTGTAGAAGGTGTGGTCTTCTTTATAGAACTTCTCTAGCTCCATGTAGAACTTCTCGATTTCTCTTTCATCATAATGAGATGTTGGTGCGTAGACAACGAAGATAGAAACTGCAGGCAGTGAGCCACATCTATTCAAATGTAAACGTCCGATTCGGGTTGTTAGGCATTCGAATGAATCAATGCTCTTGGCCAAGTTTGTGTTGACAAGGACACCGACGCCTCCAACACCTCTTTTATCGCATGTTCCGAGGAACAATTCTTCTCCAGTGTCGAAAACGGCATGGTGAGATTCGTGTCTTCTTGTCTCGGTCAGACCAATCATAACCCGCAAATCGGCCTGGGAGCATGCTCCTCAGAACACACCTGCTCCCTGCACGGCAGGAGCAGCGAAGGCTTTGCCTTGCACGCAGGCAACCCGGGTTCGATGCCCAGCATCCCCTAACATGCCTTGAGAGCAGAGCCAGGAGTAACCCCTGAGCATCACCAGATGTGACCACAAAATATAACAAAACAAAAAGTGCTATGAAAAACATTTGGTGCGACCTGATGGTGCAGAAGGCAGTGCAGGGGAAGGGGGGGACCAGGCCTGGGAGCAAAGAGCCGGAGTGGGGCCCGGAGCAGACAGGACCTGCCCCCGGGGTTTTGCAGCCTAGTGGCGGACATTGGTTCAATGTAACAGGAAGCTGCTGAGGAGCTGAGTTGTGAGACATGCTGGTGTCTAAATTTTCTTTTTTTCTTTTTTCTTTTTTGCTTTTTGGGTCACACCCAGCGATGCACAGGGGTTCCTCCTGGCTCTGTGCTCAGGAATTACCCCTGGAGGTGCTCAGGGGACCATATGGGATGCTGGGAATCGAACCTGTGTCGGCCATGTTGGCTGCGTGCAAGGCAAACGCCCTACCCGCTGTGCTATTGCTCCAGCCCTTGTCTAAATTTTCTTGATGGATGTTTAGTCCGTATGCTCAGGCTGACTCCTCGCTCTGCACTCAGAGATCACTCCTGGCGGTGCCTGGGGGATATATGGGGTGAGGATAGAACTCGGGGTGGCCGCATGCAAGGTGAACATCTTACCTGCTGTGCTATTGCTCCAGCCCCCACTTTCAAATTTTAAATGGCATATTCTTCTGCCCGTGATTGTGGTGGTGGTGGGGGTGATGAGCAGGTGCCCTGTCACCCTAGCCGGTGGGGCTGGCATCTACCTGGAGCCTTGGGAAGTGGCCGAGGGGTAGGTTCTGCTCTGCCCACCGCCAGCCACTGGCAGGGCCATTTCTAAAGAATAGTACCAGGAGCTGGTTTTCCAGGCCCTCAGATGGGTCCTGGGTCTCAGAGCAATTTGGGCTGGTTTAGTTCCAGATGGGCTGGAGCGATAGCACAGTGGGTAGGGCGTTCGCCTTACAAGCGGCCAACATGGCCGACCAGAGTTCGATTCCTCCGCCCCTCTCGGAGAGCCCGGCAAGCTACCGAGAGTATTCGATATGCCAGACACAGTAACAACCAAGTCTCCAATGGAGACGTTACTGGGCCCGCTCGAGCAAATCGACGATCAACGGGAGGGCCTTTACCTTTACCTTTTAGTTCCAGATGATATTTTCCCCCAATATACATTACCGGTCCCCCCCTCAACCACCCCCCTTTCTTCCTGAAACATAAGGATTGGCTCAGTGTGGATAGAGCCCCAAGAATTCCGGAAGGTGAGGGGCTGGAGCAATAGCACAGCGGATAGGGCGTTTGCCTTGCACACGGCCGACCCGGGTTCGATTCCCAGCATCCCATACGGTGACCTGAGCACTGCCAGGAGTAATTCCTGAGTGCAGAGCCAGGAGTAACACCTGTGCATTGCCCAAAAAGCAAAAAAAAAAAAAAAATTCCGGAAGGTGTTGGGGGGGGCAGAAAGCCGCAAATGGGGGTTGGGAGGGGGGGCAGTGTAAGAGGAAGCTCAGGGAAGGCTGGAACGGCGACAGCGGCGCCTTCCAACCTTGCCCTCCTCTCCACGTGCCTCACCTTTCTCCTCAATGCCCCCAGCATGGGAGGAGCGTCCCTAACCCTTCATCTCCCTGTCCAGGCACCTGGCGCCCCCCCGCAGGTCGATCGTGTTCGCGAGCTGGGGGGCAGAGGAGTTTGGCCTCATAGGCTCCACGGAGTTCACGGAAGTGAGTGGGCCCCCCAGGGGTGGGCGCGATAGTGGGGGTCGGGCGGCCGGGCTGACTCCCCCCTGGCCCGCAGGAGTTCTTCAACAAGCTGCAGGAGCGCACCGTGGCCTACATCAACGTGGACATCGCAGTGTTCGGTACGCGGCGGGCCGGCGCGGGGTGCAGGGTGCGGGGCGGCGGGGAGAGGGGGACGCGGGTGTGATCGCTCTCCGTCCCTCCCTCCCGCAGCCAACGCCACCCTGAGGGCGCAGGGGACGCCCTAGGTGCAGAGCGTGATCTTCTCCGCAGCCCGGCAGGTGGGAAGGGCGGGGCCTAATGGGGCGGGGCCTGGGTGGCTGTGGGCGGGGCCTGATGGGGCGTGGTTACACAGCAGGCGTGGTTGTCTCGTGAGGCGGGGCCTTGGGACGGGACTATTTTGTGGGCGTGGCCCACCGAGGCGTGGTCAGTTTTGGGGCGGGGCCTGTTTAGAGCGTGTCAATCTTGTGGGCGGGTTGTCTGGGGGGCGGGGCCTGACTAGAGGCGGGACCGGGCATGTGGGCGTGGCTAGGTTATGGACGGGGTTACCTGGGGCGGGGCTGGAGCTAGTACTTGGTGGGCGGGCTGAAGGTGAGACCCCGACCCTATGGAGCGCCAATGAGCGAGGCGGAGGACCCTTTAGGAGGTTGTGCCAGGGGAGTGGCTACCTACCCTAGAAACCCAATTCTCCCCCCAGATCCAAGCTCTAGGCACCAATCTCAGCGTCTATGACAACTGGATCCAATATTTCAACCGAAGCAGCCCCGTGCATGGCGTGATCCCCAAGTGAGGCAGGGACAGGGACAGGGACAGGATCGAGGGTGAGGGGTAAGTGGGGGTGTGTCCCTGAGCCTTACAGACCAGCCCTCTTCCCTCAGCCTGGGCTCTCTGGGCGCTGGCAGCGACTACGCATCTTTCATCCACTTCCTGGGCATCTCCTCCATGGACATCGCCTATACCTATGACCGGGTGAGTGGGAGTTTGCCCTGGCTTGATTATCTGCTCCCAGTCCGCTGAACCAGTCAGCGGCAGTACTACTTGGGCTAAGTTGCTTAACCTCACTGAGCATACTTTTTTTTTACTTTTTGGGTCACACCCGGCGATGCTCAGGGGTTACTCCTGGCTCTGCACTCAGGAATTACTCCTGGCGGTGCTGGGGTGGGGTGGGGACCGCATGGTATGCTGGGGATCAAACCTGGGTTGTCCCCGTGCAAGGCAAACACCCTACCCGCTGTACTGTCGCTCAGGTCCGCATTTTTTTTTTTTTTGCGCAAGTGTTATTCTATCCAATTTAAACGGCTAGAATTGTAAGTGTACATGTTTAGGAGGCACAAGAGATCAGGGATGTCTGTCTCCCTTTCCCTCCTTCCTGGCCACACTACTCTTCATGCTGGGCTGGAATTTGCACCCTACAAGCAACTGTACAGCCACCCTGTTCTCCATGTTCTCCCTGGGGACGTGAGCCCTGGCCCGTTCGTGCTCTCTGAGCTGCTGTTTCCTCCTCTGCCAAGGGGGCCTTCTAGAAACAGTTGCCTGGACACGGTGGTGATTTCGTTGAGATCATTTTCCTGCAGCCTCGCTCATTTCTTCTCGCTTCTCAGCCCAAACCTGACATCTCTGGCCTTGTTCCTACAGAGCAAGACCTCAGCTCGGATCTACCCCACTTACCACACAGCCTTCGACACCTTTGGTTACGTGGACCAGTTTGTGGATCCCGGTGCGGTGGGGGCTGGGAGGGGGTGTCATGAGGCTGGAGGAGGGGGAGGCTGCAGACCGAGCCTGGCCTGTCACTCTCCGCGCAGGCTTCAGCAGCCACCAGACAGTGGCTCGGGTGGCGGGGAATGTGCTTCTTCGTCTCAGCGACAGCCTCTTCCTGCCCCTCAATGTCAAGGACTACAGCGAGACCCTCCGCAGCTTCTATGATACAGTGAAGAATGAAGTAGGGGCGGTGTTGGCGCAGAAGAAAATCAACCTGGGTGCGGACTCTGCCTGGCCTGGAAGCTTGGGGCCCAGGGACTGGGGGGTGGGGGTCGTGGGGAGCCCGGCGGCCGGACTGACCAGCTGGCTGTCCCCCACAGGGCCTCTGGGGAGCGCAGTGGAGAAGTTCGAGAAGGCCGCTGAGGCATTGATTCAACACCAGTCAGAGCTGCAGAACAACCCCGAGTGAGCCAGGGCAGCCCGCGGGTCTCCGGGAGGGTGGCCCCGCGCCACACAGGCTGGTGACTCAGTGCTCCTGTGCCCTCCAGGCCCCTGCAGGTCCGGATGCTGAATGACCAGCTGATGCTCCTGGAGCGGACGTTCCTGAACCCACGAGCCTTCCCTGAGAAACTGTACTACAGGTGAGGCTGCCCCGGACCGCGTGGGCAAGGGGCTGAGCTCAGCCCAGCTCCCAAAGACCGATAGGTGGGCCCAGGGCAATGGGCACTAAGAGCTGACCTCTGACACCCCCTTTGCTGCCCGGGCCTCCACTGTCAGAGGCAACGGGAGGTGGTTCATGCCTTGTGTGGGAAGAACTGAGCCCTCCTCTTCCCTGGTCTTGGCATGACTCTGACACCCCCTTTCTCCTCCAGCCACGTGCTCTGGGCGCCCCGCACCGGCTCCGTCCCCACGTTCCCGGGCCTGTCCAACGCCTACTCCAACGCCCTAGGCACAACTGATGGCTCTCCACAGTGGGCCGAGGTGCAGAGGCAGTTCAGCATCGTGGTGGCCGCCCTGGAGGGCGCAGCTGCTATGATGAGGCCTGTGGCTGACCTCTGACCCCAGCTCTCCCTCAGCTCCCCCCCCCCCCCACTTTTCCCAGAGGAGTGGAGGATGTGAGCCCTCGCCCTGCCCCTCATGCCAGCAGAGGGCATGACCTCAAGAGCCATCAGTTATGGACACCTGAGAGGCAACAAGCCCAGTATGGATGTCTCTGACCCTTGCTGGCACACACTAGACACCCAGAGCTGGGGGACACGGAGTGACCCTCCCCCACCCCCCGCCAGCTTCTGGTGATGGGCCCGTGAGAATGGGTTGTACTGGACCCATGTTAGACCATCACGGCCAGGCCTCAGGGATGTGGGGAAACCGAGGTCAGAGTGGAAAGGGCCCGGCCAGTCTGTATTCTTCTCCCTTGTTTCCACCCCTCTGCCACCCTCACAATAAATGACGCCTCACTCCTGTCCAAAGGCAAGAACGAAACCAAGAGGGCCGGAAATCCAGTACAGCGGGGAGGGTGTTTGCCTTACACGCAGCAGATCCGGGACGGATGCTGGGCACCCCATTTGGTTCCCTGAGCACAGCCAGGAGTCACCCCTGAGCACTGCCGGGTGTGGCCCCCAAACAAAACCAAAAAAAAGCAAAAACAAAAATAAATAAAAAAACTAGGAAGTTCTTTTATTGTCTGAGAATGATGACAAAGAAACTGGCCAGGCATTTGGGCTCTGGCAGGTGCCACAGGCCCTCCTCATACTGGGGACATGGGTTGGCCCACACCCCCGTCTTCCTCCTCGGCCATGACCACATCCTCCAGGGTGCGCCCCTCGATTTTGCTTCTCAATAGCACAGTGCAGTCCCCAGCAGGGGGCAGCCCCTTCTCATCGTAGCGACCACGCAGGAACACGACTCTTTGCTCTGCGTCCAGGGGCAGATCATGGGACTGGCACAGGCTCTGTGCCTCCTCGGACCCGTCCAGCGCCAGCAGGTGGATCAGGAAACTCAGGGGCACCGTCTGGCCCTTCGGGGTGCTCAGGGCCCGAGCCAGGCGCGCCAGGGCCTGGCGGCGAGCGAGGCCCACGTGGCACCGCACGGCGCAGCTTTCCAGATAGGGCAGGGCCCGGAGCAGTCGGAAGAGGCGGGCTGCGTTGCTCTCTCGGAAGGCGGCGTCCACAGCCAGGGCGGTGCGCAGGGCCGGGCAGGCGCGCAGGGCAGCGGGCAGCTGCAGCACCTCATGGAGGGCCTGGACGGAGCCTGTGAGAGCAGGGAGCAGGGCTGGGATTCAGGTTCTTCCAGGGTCAGGCCCAGCCTCCAGACATCCCGTCTAGCCACCCACTCTGCCTCTACTAAGCTCATCTCCTTTTGTAATAAGGCAGATGGGATTTTTTTTTAGGATGGTGTAGTGGGGGGTGACCACTGCTGGCGGTGCTCAGGGGAAAGTATGCAGTGCTGGGAATCCACTCAGGGTCAGCGTCACGGAATCCAAGAGCCTTTGCCCTTGGACACCGTCTCTGGCACTCAGGCAGGGTTTCTGATAAGGGCGCAGGCCTGGATAATTTAATCAACAACCTGCTGATTGGACAATTATATGGAAGTGGACCCCACGGCCTTCCCGTCTAGCAGCCACTGGAACCTTGGAGATAGCACATTTGTGGCGTCAACCACATTTATTACAATAGGACAGAGGTTAAAGGATCTAGAATTTTTTTTTTTTTTTGCCACATCTGGCAATGCTCAGGGATTACTCCTGCCTCTGCACTCAGGAATCACTCCTGGCTGTGCTCAGGAGACCATCTGGGATGCCAGGGATCAGCCCATGTCAGCAAGGCACATGCCCAAACACCCTACCTGCTGTCCAATAGTCCTGGTCTAGAAACTTTTCAGATAGCTTCACGGGCAGATGTTATGTATATGCTCAATTGTTTTGAACCTGATGACTGAGGTATTTTAAAAGTTTGAAAATCAGGACAGGGGCTGGAGAGATAGCACAGCCGGTAGGGCGTTTGCCTTGCACGCGACCAACCCGGGTTCGATTCCCAGCATCCCATATGGTCTCCTGAGCACCGCCAGGAGTAACTCCTGAGTGCAGAGCCGGGTGTGACCCAAAAAGCAAAAAAAAAAAAAAAGAAAAGAAAAAAAAAAGAAAATCAGGACACAGAGGGGACTCAATAGGCAAATCCAGGGGGCTGGCGCGATAGTACAGCGGGTAGGACGTTTGCCTTGCACATGGCGCACCCGGGCTTGATTCCCAGCAACCCATATGGTCCTCTGGGCACCACCAGGAGTAATTCCTGAGTGCAGAGCCAGGAGTAACCCCTGTGCATTGCCAGATGTGACCCCCTCCCCCCCAAAAAAAGGCAAATCCACACAGCGAGCCCGAGTTCCAGAACAGCATGGTTCTCTGAGCACTCCGGGAGAATCACTGGGTGTGGCACAAAAAATCACCACCTCAAAAAAAAGAGGTTTGAAAATCAGCGCAGGGGGCCAGGGCAGGGAGACTGCTTTATATGCCGGAAGCCTGGTTGAGTCCCAGCACTGCATGGTCCCCGGCATCAACAGCAATCCTGAGCACAGCACTGAGCTCTGCCCCGCGTGGCCACAAAACAAGTCTGTTTCATTTTGTTGGGTTCGGGAGCGCGCCTGCGGCCCTTCCTGGCTCTGCGCAGTAGCGACTGACTCCCTTGGGTTGAGGACTGTATAGTCGGGACTGGTGCAGGAATTGGCAGGACGCAAGGCAAGCGTCATTTAATAACCCCTGGACTATGTCTCCGGTCCCCCCCAGAGTTGGTGTATCACTAAGTGCCAACCTGCCGGTTCCAAACCCGATCCCTCCGCTTTTATTACGGGAAAACGGGGCAGGCGCAAAGGCCCACATCGGGGTTCCGTGATCCTCTGCACGGACTCGACACCCCTTCGGGAGGCGGGTCGGGGTCGGGGACGAGGCTAACGATGCGCCGGGGAACCGTCCTTCCTTCTTCGCGGCTGCGCAGACCGGGGCTCGGACTCACCGAGGTTATAAAGCAGGAAGAGGCCCTGGAAGGCGGCCTGGCGGGGGTGCGGCCCGGCACCCTGCGCGTAGCAGCGCCGCAGCGACCCGAAGCCCTCCTGCACCTGGGCCTGCAGCAGCACCGGGTCGGCGGGGCCGTGCTGGGCGTCGGGCCCGAGCCGCGCCACCACGGCCAGCAGCACGGCCAGCGCCGCCTCGAGCACCAGCGCCGCCTCGGCGTGGCCGGCGCGCTGCAGGGCCAGGTCCAGCCGCACGGCGCGCAGCCGGTCGGCCACGAAGCTGGCCACCTCGGCGGGGGACGCGTCGGTGCGCTCGGCCACCTCGCGGGCCAGGTAGCGCACCGTGGCCAGCAGCACCGACGGCGGCCGCAGCTGGCAGGGCTGCGGCGGGGGCCGGCCGGCGGCCGGGCGGCTGTACTCCTTCACCACGCGCTGCGGGTCGGCGCGGGGCCGGGCCCCGCCGCACCCCGGCGTCACCTCGAAGCGGTGCAGGCGGCGCTCCTGCTCCCGCCGGACGCGCTCGGCCGTCGGACACATGTCGGGGCACGTGCCCACGGGCAGCTCGAAGTCGCGCATGGCTGGGCTGCGGGGAGGGCGTGGGCACTCAGCACCCCGGGCTCGGCCACGGCCACCCGCCCCATGCCGCGCGCGGGGACGCCCAGTCCGGCCGAGGCCCCGCGGGTGCTCGCGCCCACGACGGACGCCCGCCCAGCCCGGCCGGCCCGGCCCCGCCCAGCCCGGCCCCCTCACCTCGTCCCGCCGCCTTCCCACAAGGCCCCTCGGCGCGCCTCCCGAGATGCACCGCGTTGTAGTTCCGCGCTACCCCGCCCGTGACGTAACGCTGTGCGCCGCGCGCGAGCCCGGCGCACTCCCAGGATGCATCGGTTCGTAGTTCCTTCGGCAACCAATCGCCTGGCAGGAGGGGCGGGGCAGGGCGGAGCCACGCCCCGCGTCTGCCAGGGCTCCCGCCTCCAGCCATCCCCGCCTTTGCCTCTCTCCCCACTTGCACTTCCTACCCCCTCCCCCAAGATGGGCACTCTGGGTCCAAGGGTTCATCTCTAACTTTTTCGCCCAGTAAGCTGGCTCAGTTACCCTCACTGCCTTTTTTTCCCCTGGTAGCTAACGTCCCTATTTTCTAGAACAGGGATCAGCAAATTATCAGTAAAGGGTCAGCGGAAATACGGTGCAGGAAAATTTAAGGGCTGGCCATGCAGGGACAGACCCAGTTTGATTCCCCAGCTCCGCATATGATCCAGGGAGCACTGCCAAGAGTTACTCATGGGTGTGGTCCAATAATTCTCCCCTCTGCCACTCCTCCCCCCAAAAACCCCAATAAATGTTTTGAGACTTGCAGGTGGAAACTACTCGATTCTGCAGCCATTCAACCATGCCAGTGTGGCAGGAAAGCTGTCCCACACAAAACTAGTGAACTTAATTGCTCCAATATTTTTATATACTTGTTTGGAATGATTTGCATCTTTCAGATTATTTGCTTAAAGAAAACATTTAAAAATCTCCAGGTTAATAAGACTTCACCTGTGCGATGCTACAGGACACACGCCTGATCACATAGCGAGTCCGGGCAGTTCTCGTTAAGAAGTTCTCTATAGAGGAACTGTAAAAATGAATTTTACAGGAAGCACGCAACCTAAGAAAACGTTTAGGAGCTTGGCTAAAATTTGGCCAAGGAAAAGAAAATCTTTGGCAGGCCCACAAGTCAGGAAATCAGAAACACACAACTTCAGGCAGCTGAAAACCATGTGACTCATCCTAGCAATAAATAAACCACCCAAAAGAAAACCTGCATTGAGGCCGGAACAATAGTAAATAGGGCCCTTGCTGTGCATGTGACCAACCTGGGTTTGATCCCGGTACCCATATGCTTTCCCAAGCCCTACCAGGAACTCCAGAGCCAGGAGTAAGCCCTGAGCACCACCAGATGGTGGCCCCCCAAAAGAAACCTTGCACCATCGGTACAGACCTTCATTAATTTAAATAAAGTTCCTCTCTCTATAAATAAATTTCCCTATAAAAGAAAGTAAAATCCTCAGAAGGGCTGGAGAGATAGTACAGAAGCTATGGCACTTGCCTTGCATTCAAATCCCAGTACCACATAAGATCCCCTGAGTCTGTGGGGGTCACTCCTGAGCACAGAGGCAGGAATAGCCCCTGAGCACCACCAGGGGTGGTCCCCAAACAATCCTAGGTCATGGACTTTACAAAGGCAGAGGGTCCCATGTGGCTGCAGATGAGATGTGTAAACAGAAGTTTAGTGGCTGGATCTGCTGCTTTTTGGGGAGGAGGCTGGGCAGTCTGGGCTTGGATGACCGCGCGGTACCAGCGTCCACACCCGCAGCCCTCTGTGCCACCTCCTGAGCCCTGCACTGCTGCTTGAACCTTGACATAAGAGACGAGATGAGAGGCGGGAGATGGAGATTCCACTGTGGCAGGCGTGGTCGGGGAGGGGGGAATTTCATTGTTCTCATTCTTGGTCCAGTTACAGACAGAAAAGGCTCCAGGAGTTAGAAGACCAGGAGAGAAGACGAAGGGCACCAGGGAGAAGACGAAGGTGTGGCTGGCAGTGCTGGCACGAGAGTCTGGGGTCGGGCGGCTGCTTGTCAGGGCGGGACCTGGGTCAGGTGCTGGTGCAAGATCTCCTCTGCGCGCTTCAGGTACTCGGCTGCCTTTTTCTTCACGCCCTCCCGGCGGGCCGGGGACGGGTCATCTAGGGAGAGAAAAAGGCTTAGTGCCTGGGCCTGGGCCCAGGCCCCTGAGTCTAGAAGCCCTGATCTAAGCCCTTCTAATTCACGAAGTAGCACGGAGTTCACCAACCACACATCTTTCGTCTTTTCTGGGACTCGTGTCTATTCTCCCAAGGCACAGTGCAGGGCTCCTGCCTGGCATAAGAGATCCACCTAGAGGGGCCGAAGCGATAGTACAGAGGGGAGGGCGTTTGTCTTGCAGGCGGCTGACCCATGTTCAATCCCCGGCATCCCATATGGTCCCTCAAGCACCGCCAGGAGTAACCCCTGAGCAATGCTGGGTATGATCCAAAAAAAAAAAAAATTGGTTTGCAGCTCCCCTGGGTCCCACCAGGAGTAGGGAAGGAAGGAAGGAGGGAAGGAATGAAGGAAGGAAAGAAGGAAGGAGGGAGGGAGGGTGGGAGGGAGGGAGGAGCCAGCTGAGATCTGCAGCTGGCCTGTGAGGTGCAATCCTGCCCCTTGAAGTGCTTCTTTCCCCCTCCCCCTCCCCGCCCTCCGGCCTTCCTCACCCCTACTCACCGGGCACACCCCGGAGCAGGATGTGCACCCCATCCCGGTAGGCCTGCAGTGCCTTGGCGTAGGCCCCCGCCTTCTCATCGCGCAGGGCCTGGGTGATGAGCTCCGTGGCTCGGCTCAGATAGGCAGGGGGGGGCCCCCCATCCCCATCCTCCTCCTCTTCTTCCGGCCCTCCTGGCTCCCAGGGCTCCTGGGCCGGTCCCTGCGCCTCAGCCTCCATGGCAGCCAGCAAGCCTGCGTGGGTAGGGCTGGGGCCTGCACCCTCTGCAGAGAGAAATGAAGAACCCGGGCTGGATGGCAGTGCCCGGGCCACGCAGGACCTGCTGCAGAGCCAGGCAGCGGGATTTTTCAATGGACTGTTTAGCGTCTCTAGGCCACGTCTGTGGTGCTTGGGGACTGAACGCGAGTTACAGGTGCACCTCGAACCGCCTCTGGTCACGCCTGCCCGCACACCCTCTCTTACGCTTTCAAGGAAGGTGCTCGCACCCCTGCAGGCCCTGGCACCTCCGTCATTTCCAGCCTCCTGGATAGTGGCACGTACCGGGGGCACCAGCTGGCCAGGCTAGGAGCCCTCGCCCAGGACCATGCCACCTGCTCCTGCTTCTCACCTATGATGCCTACGGGCCACAGGGGCTTTCTCAGCCTCAGGAGCACCGTGCCCAGGGCCTGGCTCTGCCTGACCCCACCTCACTAGTCCCAGCAGTTACCTTCCTTGGAGAAGGGGTCGAAGAGGGCCAGCTCGGCGTCAGACAGGGGGCCGCGGGCCGGGGAGCCAGACACCTCCTCAGTGCTCCCGCAGTTGAACAGGAGATCCAGGGCCTCCTGGGCTGGGCTGGATGGCGCAGGGTCTGCTGAAGAACAAACCACGGGGGACACTCGGGTCTCGGGTCTGCCCTAAGCCACCCCTGAGTTTTCTCTTTTGGGCCACACCACTCAGCATGCTCAGGGCTAACTCCTGGCTCAGGGATCATGGGGGGTGGCGGGGGGGAGGACGCGGGAGACCATATGGGGTGGTGGCAATTGAATCGGGGTGCGCTGTGTGCAAGACAAATGCCCCACCTGCTGTACTATCACTCCGGCCCCCGTGCCCCCTGTCAGGAAGGACCCTCCCCCCTCCCTGAGCCGAGGCACCCACGGCTACACAAAAGCCCATCTGTGTGTGGAGGGGGCGTTGGTTCACAGATGAAGGACTCAGAGCGCAGACATGGAAGATGACCGGGGCACCCCTGCAGGTCAGGGGAGAGGAGGTGGGACCCAGTCAGGCTCCTCCCGGAGGTCACCGAGGACAGGTAGGGACCACCCAACCTCCACCTGGCACCTTCCCACACCCCAATGTACCTGGCACCTCCAGTTCCTCAAGGCCCCTCCTCTCCGCGGGCAGGGGCTGGGGCAGCCGGGAGTCCTCAGACCGGGGCTCGTCGGAGGGTAGTGTTGGGATGAGAGGGGGCGGCAGGATGTGCAGGTCTCGGGCCAAGTCAGAGGGCCGGGTCACCTCCCCACCCTGCAGGAGGGAAAGACCAGCCAAGGGAGTCCCGGGCGCAGCCTGGCGGGAAGCTTCAGGGTGCAGGGAGGTGGGGGGGGGCGAGGGGGCGTACCCGGAAGAACTCCTTGAGCTGGGGGCTGTTGTTGAGCGCCGGAATGTGCACGGTGAACCGGAGCAAGTCCTCTGCCCCCTTCCGCCGCTCCTCGATCACTGATGGCTCGAACCGGCCTGGCCCAGGATGAGAAAGGAAAGACCCAGTAACCTTCGTGAGGGCCTCCAGGCCACGGTCTAGGGGGCCGGAGAGGAGGGGGCACAGCCTCTAGCCCTAACTGCTTCCAGCCACCCCGCCAGGGTCACTGTCTGAGCACAGGGCGGGGAGAATCTGAAGGTGACTGAGGGCCAAAGAGCCAGGACAGTGAGTTGGCCTCACAGGACCACTGGCCTTGAAGGAGGCCAACTCCAGCTCAATCCCCAGCCCTATGTATGGTCCCCGCAACCCCGAGCACGGCCAAGGATGACTCCTGAGCACAGAGCCAGCGGTTAAGCCCTGAGCACCGTCGGGAGTGGCCCCCAGACAGAAGTGAAAGGAAAATAGAGATAAAGAGAGAAATGAGTGTTCCTGGTGTCCCACACCACAGGGGGCAGCAGCAAATGATGCGCCAACCCTAGGGCCGGGAGGAGGGGGAGGCTCAGAGAGGGAGCACTGCCCGTCATGCCCTTTCGTGGCCCCAGCGCTGTGTCCAGGCGGGCAGGCAGAGTCTCTAACTCTGGGCCGGGGGTCCCGGAGCATCTCTGCTCTGTCCACTCCCGAGCCCAACCCACCAGCCAGGGTCCTTCTCCAGGCTGAGGAGAAACGTCTCCCGCAAGGCTAATGACCTGGAAACAGGTCAGTGCCCTCGGCCAGAGACAGAACCGGGCCGGGGCCAGGCAGGGAAAGACACAACTCACGCCAGAACAGAAAATCCACGAGCGTGGCCAGTAGCTCAGACACCCCCAGTACGTGGTCCCTTAGCACCCTGGGGCACACGTTCGCTGGTTCTGGATGGGACACATCTCTAGGGGAGTCCCACCCGGGGTGAGATTTCTGTCACTTCCTGAACCCTCGGTGTCCCTGTCTAGCAAGGGGGCGAATGAGGATGAGGCATTTAAAGAGCCCAGTGCACCAGGCAACGCGAGCCTCAGTTTCCCGGGGTTATTTAATTCAGTTCTGGGGCCACACTCAGCGGTGCCCAGGGCTTACTCCTGGCTCTGTGCTCAGGGGTCACTCCTGGTGGAGCTTGGGGGACCCTCTGCGGCTCTCCGAGCTCAGGGGGATCGAACCTATGTTGGACATTGTTCTGGGCAAGCTGTGTGTGACAGAAGCCATCTCTCGGGGTGGCTGTCGCGCCCCTCCAGCAGAGTCCCCTGCCCGCCTCTCCCCTCCCCAGGCTCACCGAACACCTGGGCACGCGGGAAGGCGGGAAACTCCTCGGTCCGGCGGAAGAGGTTGCGGTGCGTGTAGGCCAGGTCCCCGTGCAGCTTGCGAAAGTCGCTGTAGCGCTTCCAGACCACCACCTGATGGGACATGGGGACTGGAACAGGGCAGCGGGGAGCAGGGACCCGCCCCGGCACCCCCACCTCCCCGGGCCCAGGAGGAAAGCGGGGGCTGGCCTCCTCTCCAAGGGACCAGCCGTTGGGACCGGAGCGATAGTACAGCCGGGAGGGCATTTGCCTTGCATGCAGAGGACCTGGGTTGGATCCCCGGCATCCCATAGGGTCCCCCGAGCACCACCAGGAGAAATTCCTGAGTCCGGAGCCAGGAGTAACCCCTGAGCATCACCGGGTGTGACCCAAAAAGCAAAAACAAAACAAAACAAATGAAAAAAAACCCAAGTGACCAGCCGTGCTTTCCTTCACTGGCCCTTGAACTGAGCAGTGGCCGCCCTTCGTGGGGCCTCACCTCTTTGACATCCTCGGGATCCTTCTTTGAGATGAACTGAGGAAGGAAGATAGGGCAGGTCAGTGCAGGGGTCACCTACTCCTCCGCCCAACATGATCCCTGGGGGCTGGGATGTTCCCACACTCTCCCATGGTGGGTCCCTTTGGCTACTGGTCCCTGGTATCCTGGTGTCCTGTGTCCAGGCTCTGCATAGAACTCTGAGCTCATTTTCTCTGCCGTGCACCTCAATTTCTTTCTCTGTCAAATGGGAGCAGGTCTAACATTCCCCTAGACCACATCCTTCGCGGCCACAGTTCCTGCAAGTCTGTAAGGATATAAGACGCTACATCTTCTGAAATCAGAGAACCTCCAAGTTCATGAAAGAAATGAGATTTGTTCCTAGGAGCCCCTTCTTTTTTCCTCCATTTTTTGGCAGTAGCCACACTCAGCAGTGCTCAGGGGCTATTCCTGGCTCGGTGCTCAGGAGTCACTCTTAGCGGTGCTAGGAACTGAAGTGGTCTCAGCAGGATACAAGGTGAGCACCTTCACCCCTGTACTTCTCCTTCCTTAAAGAAGAAAGCCCTGTGCTCAAACTGGAACCCCCAGATACAAGACACCATCTGGGGTGCCCTGGGGTAGAGGCAGAGAGAAGCATGGGGCTCTGGACAGCCTCATGCCTGATCCTGGGGAGCAGGCCCAGTTCGCAGCCCATTTAGGAGGCGAGAAAACTGGGCCGGAGTGGTAGTACAGTAGGTAGGGTATTTGCCTTGCACACGGCCAACCTGGGTTCAATCCCCGGCATCCCATATGGTTCCCCAAGCACCGCCAGGAGTAATTCCTGAGTGCAGAGCCAGGAATAACCCCTAAGCATCACTGGGTGTGACCCAATAACCAATAACCAAAAAAAAAAAAAAAAAGAATACACGGGACTGGAGCGATAGCACAGTGGGTAGGGCGTTTGCCTTGTACGTGGCTGACCTGGGTTCAATCCCCAGCATCCCATATGGTCCCCCAAGCACTGCCAGGAGTAAGTCCTGAATGCAGAGCTAGGCATAACCCCATGAGCATGGCTGGGTGTGACCCAAAAAGAAAAAAAAAAGAGAGATGAGGAAATGGGGCCAAGGAGAGGGGCTGGATAGAGTGATTTACACGGCCCAACTCCACTGGCATCACTGAGGGGAAATCTCCACTGATGGGGGTCCTGTAATCACTCTTCTCTCTATTGCCTCTCCCAGGGAAGAGTCCTTAGGGATATACAAACATTAGAGATGCTCAGGCCCAGATCTCCTAGGCCCCTGCACTGCAGAGGGTATCCCCCCAACTCCTCAGCACCACCGAAGTGATCCCAGACCAAAACTACTTCAATAGTCACCATTTGAAGTTGCCTAATTTTAACATCCTGAAGGTACCCCAAAAGATTCTTCCCCCAAGACTTCCAGCTTATCCTGCTACAGGGGCAGGATGCGTTTCTGTTTTAAACTTTTCCGTTTCCCCCTCCTTCTTTATGCTGGCAGCCCTGATCCTTAAATTCTCCGGAATCACGTGCCATGAAAAATGAATGCCTTATAATAAGCCTTTCATGTAAACGGCAAGCTAAGCAAGAAACAAAACTTGGGGGCTGGAGCGATAGTACAGCGGGTCGGGCGTTTGCCTTGCACGCGGCCGACCCGGGTTCGATTCCCAGCATCCTAAGGGTCCCCTGAGCGCTGCCAGGAGTGATTCCTGAGTGCAAAGCCAGGAGTAACCCCTGTGCATCGCCAGGTGTGACCCCAAAAGCAAAGAGAAAAGAAAAAGAAACAAAAAGTCCTCGGATTGGAGAATTAGCTGATACTGGGGTTGAGCTGCAGTTTTCCAGGCCACCCGCAACAGTCACAGTCCCTAGCTCAGAAGGACGGGCGGCCTCGGGTATGGGCACACACTTAACGCAAAGGCTAGTGCAGCATCCGCGCCCTTTTAAAAGGATGAGGCCCCGCCCCCGGCCCCGCCCCCGGCCCGCCGCCGTAAACGGAGGCGCGAAGAGCGACCGCCCCTTAAAGGGGAAACGCATTTCTGCCTCCCGAAAAGGGTGCGTCCCGCGGCGCCGCGCCTTAAGGGTAGACGCGGCGGCCTCCCGTTAAAAGGGCCCGGCCGCGCGCCGGGGGCCCCACCCTCCCCGCCCCTCACCTGCGCGGTCACTTTGTACTCGGTGTAGCCCTTGGGGTGGGCCCGGGGGTCGGAGACCGTGTAGTGCCGCAGGAAGTCGTCCTTGGCCTGGCGGGACATGGCGTGGCCGCGGCCGCCGCGCTGGCCGCCGCCCCCACCCCCGCCCCTCCCTCGGGTCGGTCCTGGCCGCCGCGCCGGGACTCGGCGCCCGGCGTCCTCCCGCCCAGGGAGCCCGGCGCAAGTGACAGCGCAGTTCTCGGCCGGCCGGCCGGCCCAGGGAGCGTCTGCAAAGTTCCCGACTGGGAGGAAAGCGTAAAACTGGGCGTTTGCGGAGTCCGGTCCGGGGCGGGCAGGCCGGTGCATCTGTGCCCCGAGATCAGACACACCCTATCCCAGGGGCAGCCCTCAGCTCTCTGCTCCAGAGCAGGCTCTCTCCCCTGCTTCCCGGTTCCTTCTCTCCGTCTACTCAAACTTCTACCGTGTCCAGTTATTTCCCTGTCTCCCTCCGCAAGATGGGCCAATTCAGGTTTTCTGGAAGGGTAGGGGAAAGAAAGAGAACCCCAAGGGTGTTGGGGTCCTGAGGCCACAACCTCTTGGGAGCTGGATGGGTTTCCCCAAACTCCAGAGCCTCAGTTTCCCCCCAGCCTGGGGATGTTTACTGGCACCATCACCACGCTGCATGTTTCTTTCCCCCGGCTGTTTCCAGCATTCACCCCATGTCCTTGTCTGCACCCCATGTTTGCCTGGGGGACGCCCTGCAGCCACCTACCCCAGAATCAGAGGCGCCAGCGCCTTTCCTTGGCGAACGGCCCCTGAGACTTTGCCTTCCTATGAGGGACAAAGCACAGACTGGCACGGCCTCCCCCCCCCTCCCCTCGCAGTGGACAGTAGAGACAATGGATGTGGCTACCCAGCCTCTGGAGCACTGTTGTCTGAGCCTGCAGGCCTGGCTTCCTTGAGATCCCCTCAGTCCCTTGTTCCTTTCCAAGAAATGCCCTTCCTCCCGGGGGGCAGCTGTCATCTGTGTCTGGTGCCACCAGGCCACTGAATGCTGCCCACACCACCTCCGGGTCCAGGCTGAGCTTCAAGTCAGACTGAGCCCCGCGGGGAGGCGCTCACGGCCACTCAGGTGTGTTTGCTGGAGCCCCGGTATCCAGGCCAAGTGCAAAACTTGGGGCAGGGCACAGGTGAGGAGGGCGCTGGGATGGGCCGGTAGTGCCCTTGGCCTAACACACCCAGTCTCCCCTGGAGTCCCTGGTCCTTGCTCCTGTTCTCCAAGGCTTGGGGAGCAGGACTGAGTTCGGTCGCCTGGCCCCTCCCTCACCAGCCCAGCCCTTCCCCAGTTTTCCCCCTCCCCCCTTTCTCTCCTGCTGGCCCGGTCCGCCAAGTCCATACCGAGCTAGATTCCTCATCCAGTTTAGCAACTGATTTCCACATCACCTGTGCCCAGCTCCACCCCAAGGAGAAGCAAACAAGAGCCTCCTAGCAGGTGGAAGAGAGAAGTCCTAACACCGGGCAGTGGGGTCTCCGCTCCTGCATTCCCACTGGGGATACTTGATAATATACGGCAACATTTTTTTTTCTTTTTGGGTCACACCCGGCAATGCACAGGGGTTACTCCTGGCTCTGCACTCAGAAATTACTCCTGGCGGTGCTCAGGGGACCATATGGGATGCTGGGAATCGAACCCGGTTCGGCAGCGTGCAAGGCAACGCCCTACCCGCTGTGCTATTGCCCCAGCCCCGCGGCAACATATTTTTGTCCTTCGTTTTAGGTTCATACCCAACTGTATTGGCTCTGAGCTCAGGGATAACTCTTGGCAGAGCTGGGAAACTGGGGGGTGCTGGGAATCGAACCTGGGTCAGTTGCTTTGCAAAGCAAGCTGTACTATGGCTCCGCGTCCCTATGATGCAATTTCAGCCACTGTACACACTCCGCATCCTGCATCCTGCTGGTGTTTGTGAGCCGTGAAAACTTGGATGCTTTTGTCTCTAACCACATGACTGACTTTTAAAAGTTGATGGAGGAGGTTGGGGAGATAGTACAGGGATTATGGTACTTGCCTTACATATGGCTGACACAGGTTCAATTCCCAGCATCGCATATGGTCCCCTGGGCAATGCCAGGAAGTGATCCCTTAGCACAGAGCCAGGAGTAAGCCGTGAGCAATGCCAGGTCAAACTCAAATTCATCTCCCCTCCAATTAAAAAAAAAAAAACTTGAAGCCTTTTTGGGGCACTGGAGCAGTATAGGGGTTAATGTGTTTGCTTTGAATGTGGTCGACGTGAGTTTGAGCCACAGAACCACACATGATCCCATGAGAATCACCAGATTGATACCTGAGCGTAGTCCCAGGAGTAAACCCTGAGCATAGACGAGCATAACTCTAACACTTCCAACCCCCCCCCCAACTTTATTTTGGGTTTTCAGGCCGTATGTGAGGCTAAGGATCAAAACAGGGTCAGCTGCAAGCAGGACAAGTGCCTTCACTCCTGTTAGTACTCTGGTCTACTTTTTATTTTTTTCCCCATTGTCACGGGGTCGTGGGGTCACACCTGCCCAGTGTTGTTAGAGGAGACAAAAAAAATGTTGCCGCGGGGCTGGGGCAATAGCACAGCGGGTAGGGCGTTGCCTTGCACGCTGCCAAACCCGGTTTGATTCCCAGCATCCCATATCCTGCTCAGACCATATGGGATGCCAGAATGGAATCGAACCCAGGGTCTCATATGCAAGGCCCAGCAGCCAGCCCCTGGGCCACTTCCCTGCCCTGTTATTCACATTTTTTTTTCTTTTTTGTGCCACACCCTGCAGGGCTCAGGGTACTCCTGGCTCTGCACTCAGGGATCACTCCTGGTGGGCTCTGGGAGCCAGATGGGATGCTGGGGATTGAACCAGAGTCAGCGGCGTGCAAGGCAAACACCCTCCCCGCTGTACCATCACTCAGGCCCTGATTCACCTTTTTTTCTTTGCTTTTTGGGTCACACCCGGCAATGCTCAGTGGTTACTCCTGGCTCATGCACTCAGGAATTGCTCCTGGCGGTGCTCGGGGGGATCATATGGGATGCTGGGAATCGAACCTGTGTCGGCCATGTTGGCTGCGTGCAAGGCAAACGCCCCACCCGCTGTGCTATTGCTCCAGCCCCCCTGATTCACCTTTTAAAAAAATTCTTACTTTAGGGCCAGAGAGATAGTATAGTGGGTAAGGGGCTTGCTTTGCACGGGGGGCCAATCCAGATATCATCTGTATCATCTCAAATGGTCTCCTCTGAGCCCACCAGGAGTGATTCTTTTAAAAAAAAATTATAATAATAATAATTTATTTATTTTGGCTTATTGGGTCACACCTGGCCAATACTCAGGGGTCACTCTGCACTCAAGAATCACTCCTGGCATTGCTTGGGGGACCATATGGGATGCCAGGAATTGAACCCAGGTCGGCGACATGCAGGCAAAATGCGCACCCCCCCCCCCGCCCACTGTACCACTGCTCTGGCCCCAGAGTGATCCCCAGAGCCAGGGAATAAGCCCTGAGCATCACGAGGTGTGGCCCCAAGCCCCCCACCCACAAAGTCACCAGGATTCACAATATTCTCAATGACGAGGTTTCAATATACCACATTCTAACACCACACCCTCATAGTAATTTACTGTGTGTGTGTGTGGGGGGGGGGTTGTTCCTAGTCCACACCTGGTAGTGCTCAGGACTCTGTGCTCAGGACTCACTCCTGACAGGATTCGGGGACTGTATATGGAGGTGGGGATTAAACTTGGGTCAGAAGTGTGCAAGGCAAACATCCTACCTGCGGTACTATCACTCTGGCCCCATAATTCACTTTATAAAGCTAAAATACTGTCAGAGGCTAAGAGTCTCCCAGGGCTCCCCAGGAGGACGGGCATCCTGCAGTGACCACCCCACCCCCACCCCTGGGGCACTGGGTGGCCCACCTGGACTCAGCCTTCATGCCTGACTTTAACGTCTCCTTCTCCAAGAAGCCCACCTGGATTCTCGCAAGCACCTGAGTTCTCGCTGGGTGCTGTGAATCTATAGTCTACACGCATCCCTCTGACGGGGTAGCAGTTCCCCCTCTGATGGAAGGGTCAGCGCCGTGGTGGCTGGCAGCTGGGGCATGGGGCAAGGAAAGGTTTATTCTCACATCTGAGCAAAGGGTCAGGCCCACAGCCTCGGCCGCAGCGGAGACCAGCCCCAGCCCTCCGGGTGGCGGCCGCTGGCGGGCCGGGTCGGGGGGGTTGGGGGGCAGCCCTCCCGCCACGGGGGCAGCAGGAGCAGCAGCAGGCGCTGGGAGTGTTAGCTGGGCGGGGGCCGCGCCCGTTCCCCTCCCACGGTGGTGCTCGCAGAGGGCCGGGCGCGCTGCTCGGGGCTGCTCAGTCGGTGGTGAAGATGCGGCTGGAGATGTCGGTGAGGAGCCAGTCGACGCCGGCCAGCAGGCTCTCCCCGGTGACGGCGCTGCAGCCCTGGATGCACCAGTGGTGGCTGCGGATGGACTCCAGATCCAGGGCCTGTGGGGGCGAAGGTGCGGGTGAGACCGCCAGTGGGGAGGCTCCCGGGCCCTGAAGAAGCCGCCCTGTCCGGGTGTGGGGCTCTGCGCTGCCCCTTCAGGCTGGGCAGCTACGGGGACCTGGGCCCGGGCCGGGCTCTGCGCCTGACACGCGGACTCTTGGTCCTTCCTGCCACCAAGGACGGCAGACCCAAGGGTGGCCGGGGACATCTGACAAGGAACTGAAAGCTCAAGAGACTCAAGCACGGGCTGGAGCGATATAGCACAGCGGGGAGGGCGTTTGCCTTGCACGCAGCCAACCCGGGTTCGATTCCCAGCATCCCATATGGCCCCCCGAGCACCGCCAGGAGTGATTCCTGAGTGCAGAACCATGCATCGCTGGCCCCAAAGAGAGAAAAAAAAAAAGAGAGACTCAAGCGCCCCACCTAGGGTCACACAACTGCAGGGGAATCGGCCTTAGTCTTTTTTCATGTTTGCTTTGGGTCACACCCAGTGATGCTCAGGGGTTATTCCCAGTTCTGCAACACATGGGATGCCGGGGATTGAACCGGGTCAGCCGGCGAGCAAGCAAACACCCGAATTCCCTACCTGCTGTGCTATCGCGTCCCCCACCCCCTTCTCTCCCTTTCTTCTCTTTTCGGGGCCACACCCAGCAGTGCTCAGCGGTTCCTGACTCTGCGCTTAAGGGTCACTCCCAGCGATGCTGGGGTTCACGTGGTGCCAGGGACAGCAGCCCAGCCTTGGCACTCAGCCTGCCCCTCTCGCACTCATTCTAGTGCTCAGAGCTGAGGCAGGAGCGGGGTCAGGAGGTCCGAGCAGGTCTCCTTGCTAGCTGGGAGACCTCGGGCAGGTGATGTCACCCCTCAAAGCAGGCCAGCTGCCAGCTGCCACTTCTCCAGCAGTGTGTCAGAATGGTGTAAGCTAATCCGTGCTGTGGGTGCATGCAGAGAAAGCATCCTCTTCCGGTTGGCTGAACCCCCTGCAACAGTCTCTTCCCAGGTCTGCCAGCGCCCGAGGCAGGGAGGCACCCTCTGCTCACCCCCCGCAGAGGCGCTCAAAGTGCTGCTTAAGTCAATAAACCAGGGGCTGGAGCAATAGCACAGCGGGCAGAGCGTTTGCTTTGCACACGGCTGACCCGGGTTCGATTCCCAGCATCCCATATGGTCCCTTGAGCACCGCCAGGGGTAATTCCTGAGTGCAGAGCCAGGAGTAACCCCTGTGCATCACTGGGTGTGACCCAAAAAGCAAAAAATAAATGAATTAATTCGAAGAGCCAGGCAAGCTACCAAGAGTATCTCGCCCGCATGGCAAAGCCTGGCAAGCTACCTGTGATGTATTCGATATGCCAAATACAGGAACAAGTGTCACAATGGAGACGGTACTGGGCCTGCTTGAGTAAATTGATGAACAATGGGAGGACAGTGACAGTGAATTAAATTTAAAAAAATAAAACTTAAGGGCTGGAGCCATAGCACAAGGGAAAGGCATTTGCCTTGCACGCGGCCCAACCCAGGTTCAATCCCTGGCATCCCATATGGTCCCCTGAGCACGGCCAGGAGTAGTTCCTGAGTGCATAAACCAGGAGTAACCCCTGAGCATCGCCTGGTGTGACCCAAAAAAGCAAAAAACCTGCTCACCTCTTGGATGGCGCTGGAGGACAGTGCTCCTGGCAGGTCCTGCTTGTTGGCAAAGATGAGGAGGGTCGCTCCAGCCAGGCGCTGCAGAGAGAAGAAAGTGGGGAGAGGCACATCCGGGATCAGAGGGCAGCCTGGAAGATGAGGGTCAGGCAGTCAGGCGGTATGGGGTGGGGGCCCTGGCTAGGACAGGGACACCTCTCTCTAGGCCTTAGTTTCCTCATCCAAAACCAGGGTGGGCATTGCACAAGATGACCCCGGAGGGACGGGAGTGAAAGTACAGCAGGTGGGGTGTTTGCCTTGCACACAGCCGAGCCGGGTTCGATCCCCGGCATCCCATAGGGTCCCCAAGCACCGCCAGGAGTGATTCCTGAGTGCAGAGCCAGGAGGAACCCCTGTGCATTGCTGGGTGTGACTCAAAAAGCAAAAAAAAAAAAAAAAAAAAAAGAGCCCGGAGCCCTCTGAGCTTCTAGCTGGTTCCATGAGGGGTGGATGCGACTGTCCACGGGTCCCTGCTGGAAGGGGCCTTCTTTGTTCCATTCAGGGACCCCGTAACTCTCCCGCTCCCAGCAGGCCTCACTGGGCGGAGTCCCTCTGGTTCTGGGGCTCAGAACCCCTCCCCATGGGGGGCCCCTGGCCCTGATGCAGGCCTGGGCCTGGCCTCTGCCACAGGGCCCTCACGGTCTGTCCTCTCGGGATCTCGGTCTTGCCCGGGGCACTCCCGCACGGGCCGGTACGAGTGGGAACTCCCTCTCTCACTCTCACAGAGTTGTCCTGGGCACCACTCCACGCGGAGATGGTTCAGGTTCGAATCCTGGGACAGACCACGCACATTACTGGAGAAAGGGGTGCCGCTCCACTGGATCTGCGGCTCAGTGGCCAAGCGCCGGGGCGGGTCTGGGTCTGGACGAGCCTCGGGAAGATGGCACGGGGAAGCCGCTCTCTCTGCCACTGTTCTGTAAAGCTCAAAGTCTGCCAAAGCCCACTGTGCTCGGGGGCCGGAGCGATGGCGCAGTGGGGAGACACTGGCCTTGCATGCAGCCGGCCCTGGTTCCACCCCCGAAACCAGAGCAAGTCCCTGCTGGCAGGAGAGATCTCTGAGCAGAGCCAGGAGGAAACCCAGAGCACTGCCAGGGGTAGCCTAAACTCCCCCACCAAAAAAAAACACCCCCCCCCCCCCGCTGCTCTTCCCCAGACAATAAATAAAGCATAAGCTCATGTGACTGACAATGCCCACCTCTGGAAGAGGAGGTTCAGAGAGGGTATGCGCCTTGCCGCCTTGCCTGGGGTCACACAGCAAAGGCTGCCAGACTCCTAACCAGGCTTGAGGCACCTGAGTCCTCTTCATAGAACCCGGGTTCAAGGGACAGACCCTGAGGCTCACGGTGACACAGAGCAGTGATGCCACAGGATTTTAGGTCACACGTGGAGCCAGGCATTGGTCAACTGTGGCCCGCCTGCAGTGTGGTGGCCCTCCTGGAACCTGGGGCATGAGGGGTTGCTGCGTCCCCAGGGACCAACGGACCTGCCTGCTGTCACTCTGAGGAAGTGTCCCCACGGCCCCCCAGCGCCCTGCCCACCTCCTCCACCAGCAGGCTCTGCAGCTCCCGCCGACAGTCCTGCATGCGCTGGCGGTCAGCGCTATCCACCACCCAGATGAGGCCGTCAGTGCTCTCAAAGTAGTTCCGCCAGTAAGACCGCAGTGACTTCTGGCCGCCCACATCCCAGATGTTCAGCTTGAATCTGGCAGAGGGGGGAGGGGTGCACGGTGAGGGTCAGCCGGGCCCCAGCCTGGCACCACCTCCCCCCCACCCCCTGCCCACAGGGGCGTCCCCTGCTCACCCCCGGTGTTCCAGGGTCTTGATGTTGAAGCCCAGCGTGGGGGAGATGGTGTCAATGTCCTCCCCGTTGAATTTCTTGAGGATGGTGGTCTTGCCTGCATTGTCTAGGCCACTGGTGTGCCAGGTTAAGGACAAGGCTCAGTGCCCGGTAGGGTGGGGACAGCTCCGCCCAGGCCTGCTCTTTGGGGACTCGTCATTTTGTCACTAAGCTGTCAAAATTGGTGGACCATCAGGCTGACCCCCGGGAAAGTGAGACTAAGAGTATTTAGCATCTCTGGGGCTGGAGTGATAGCACAGCGGGTAGGGCGTTTGCCTTGCACGCAGCTGACCTGGGTTCGATTCCCAGCATCGGATATGTCCCCTGAGTGCCGCCAGGAGTAACTCCTGAGTGCAGAGCCAGGAATAACCCCTGTGCATCGCCAGGTGTGACCCAAAAAGCAGGGGGGGAAAAAAAAAAAAGAGTATCATCTCTTGCTGGCTGACTGAATTCTGACTGGGTCAGGCCCACCTCTGATGCTGTGCCAGGGTCACCAAAGACAGTCTCTCCTTGCACAGACTAATCTTGGGGTGCATGAGAAATGCCACCGGGTCAGAGGCCCTGGTGGTCTTGACTGAGCCCAGGACCACAAGGAGCCAGATTTTGAAGGACTAGGGGAAGAACATTCTAGAAGACTAAACAAGAGCCAAGTGTCCGGGTCCCAGAGACAGTACGGTGGGTAGGGCACTCACTGCCTTGCATGCAGCGAACCCTGGTTCCATGGGGTCCCCCAAGCACTGCCAGGGGTGATCCCTGAGCACAGACCCAAGAGGAAGCCCTGAACATAGCCTGATACCAACCTCTCTCCCAACCCCCAAACAAAAAAAGGGGGAAAAAAAAAAGAACAGTATCTGGAAGCAACCATCTATCTTTTTCTGTTTCTGGAATATTCCAAACCGTCTGCTGCTGAGCTGAAATGCGTTTGTCTGTTCCAGAGCAGAGACCACCCCCTTCTCTTTCCTTGCATTGGAAGGGGGCTGCCTCAAACTTGATTTCCCCCTCTCCCAGCTGACAGCAGCCGGCCCGCGGGGGGTCCCCCAGCCCCCCACCTCCCTGCTCCCCGATGCCGCCCAAAAGGGTCCCATCCCGCTGCTCAGAGGAGCGGCCAAGCACTGCGCAGGCCTCCCGCAGCCGCCTTTCTCCTTCCAGGCCTTTCTCAACTGTTCCCTGGGCCCAGCATCCAGCTGGGGTGGGGTCCCTCCTGCTCGGTGCATTCTCCAGGCCGGATGCCCCCTGCTCTCCCAGCTCCGTTGGGGCGTTTCCCCCTCACCCGGGAGCCGGACACCTTAAGCTCGGGAGTCACCGCGTCTTTGAGCTTTTTCAAGCACACACGGTATCAATTTCATCTCTACCCGTATCTGTACCCGCGGCCCAAGGGTCTGGGTCGGGCGGGTTTGTGGATCACCGACCCCCTAACGGGCCGGCGCACAGCCGAACTCCAAGGTTGGCGGGGACCACCCCCCCCGGGGGCGGTTGAGCCCACCCTCTTCTCCCCCAAACGCCGACCTTGGGGGCCGCGCCCCCCGCGATCGCAAGCTGGCTCGGGGGAGGGGGCGGGGCCCGACGGCTCGGCCAGACGGTCAGCCGCGGGCGGGTCAGGGGCGGGAGGACGCCCCGGGCCGGAGGGACGGCGGAGGGGGCATCCCGGTCTCCTCCCGGCCCCAGCTCGCCCCCGCACGGAGACACTGTCTGAGGCCGCGGCGCCCCGAGGCCCCCGACTCCGGCCTGGAGAACCGACGCCCCCAACCCCGGCCTGAGCCACTGGCACAACCTCTTTGCGGCCCCCCAGATGCAGCCCAGTGGTCGGACCCACGTGAGTGACGCCGGCCGGGCAGTTGGTGCGGGCCGGCCGCGCCCAGTAGGGGGCGCCCGGCCCCGCCGCCCGGCGGGACCCCCTGCGCCCCTGAAGGGCCCGGCTGCGCGAGGATACAGCATGAGCAGTCGCAGCTCCCGCTCCTTCTGCTTCATCTTCTTCAGAATGGTCAGAAGCCCCATGGTCCCGGCAGCCCCCTCCCGGCCGCCGTTTCTTCCTAGTCCTGGACCCCCCCTCCCTGTTCCGATTGGCTGGCACTCCTGCTGACGGCGCATCTGATTGGCCGGTCCGCGCGTTGGTCCCGCCTTCCTCCTCACGTGATCGCCGAGCGGCCGGCGGCGCAGCCGGTCCGGGTCCCTCTAGCGGTCCCGGGAGCTGGCGCGCGATCGGCCGCGTTTGCCCCCGAGACCCCGGGGATGCGGGGAGTGGGGGACCAGGGCACCCCCGTGCCTCGCCTCCCCAGGACCCCAGGAATGAGGCCGCCGATGCCCACCTGAAGCTCCCAGCCGGGCGGCGTCGGTGACCCTGCGTAGGCGGCGTGACTCAGGGCGCCGAGCCCCGAGGGGGTGGCCGAGCTGGTCCCGGGGCACTGGAAGGACGCAGGATCCGGGTCCGACGCCGCGTTTGGAAGGAGTCCCGGCCGCGTCCTAAGCCGGCCGGCCCCACGCCTCCTTTCCCTGCTCCCGTAGAGGACGAGCCTGCCCCGTCCTGGGAGCGTGCCCGGCGCCACCGAGCTGTCCCTGTAGCAGGGAACACGCCCGCGCCAGCAATTGGCTGCGCTCGGCTTCTCTATGGAGAAGCTCAGATCTTGCTTTTATTAAGGAGAAAAACTGATTGCGACAGTGATCCGTGATTGCCTCTGGAAAGGGCTGCTGTCCCAGGACTGGCTTTGCCCGGAGTCCCCCCCCAACCCCCATGGCCCTTGAGTGCAGCAGAGGGAGACCTGGTGGGAAGCCCTGGGGGGTGAGCGCTTGCGCCCCTTCCCCAGCTCAGACCCAGATGAGCGAGCAGGACCCCAGCGCAGCCAGTTTGGGAAGGGGCCCAGGCGCGCCCCGACTGGCTGATGGGTGCGGGCAGCTCCCCTCTTGCCCCTTCCTCCTGGGGCGTTCTTGGGAGGCTGGTTTTTCTTTTGGAGATGAGATCGTGGCTCCCAGAAACTGGCAGGAGCTTGAACATCCATTTCCATCGTGTGTGTGTGTGTGTGTGTGTGTGTGTGTGTTGGCGGGCGGTGTCAGTGTAGAGGATGGTTTTCTCTTTGATGACAGCCCCAAGAGGGTGTGATCTGGACTGAGCTTGGATTTGCCACCCTGCCCGTCCAGGCTGTGGGCACCTGAGGGCTGGGTGGGAGACTCATTCAGCCCCATTCACCCTCCTCCCAGCAAAACTCAAAGGCGCAAAGACACCACAAGCCCCCCAAATGGGGCTCCTGGTTTCCTGTCCGGGAAAGAGCCTACAGAAATCCCCAGACACGTGAGCACTGATGACAGATTCGGGGTGGCCCAGTTGGGGACATCGCCACCAGGACACTCTCGGTGTTATTTCCTGTTTGCGGCCGTGGTGGAGACCACGAAGCCACAAAGTACAGTGAGGTGGGCCCAGGGCGGGGGCTTAAAGAGCTGGAGCACACGCTTATATGCAGGCGCCCCGAGTTCCATCCCTGGCACCTCGAGGTCCCTGGAATGACCCCCCCAGCTCCGCGCCAGGAGTTGTCCCTGAGTATCGCCAGGTGTAACCCCCAAAAGGAAGGGTGAGATGGAGCTGAACCTTGCCAGTATGTCTGTGCCGCATTCCGTGAAAAGAAGCAAATTTCAGTATGTTTTTTTATTTTATTTTATTTTTTTGCTTTTTGGGTCACACCCAGAGATGCACAGGGGTTACTCCTGGCTCTGCACTCAGGAATTACCCCTGGCAGTGCTCAGGGGACCATATGGGATGCTGGAAATTGAACCTGGGTTGGCCGCGTGTAAGGCAAACACCCTACCCGCTGTGCTATTGCTCCAGCCCCAAATTTCAGTATGTTTTAATGTAGCATTGTAGCACTGTCTTCCCGTCCATCGATTTGCTCGAGCAAGCACCAGTAATGTCTCACAACAAGTTATGAAACTTCTTGTTACTGTTTTTGGAATATCAAATACGTCATGAGTAGCTTGCCAGGCTTTGCCGTGCAGGCGAGATACTCTTGGTAGCTTGCTGGGCTCTCTAAGAGGGGCAGAAGAATTGAACCTGGGTCGGCAGCATGCAAGGCAAACGCCCCTAGCCCTACCCCCTGTACTAATACTCCAGCCCTATGTTTTAATGTATGTTTATTTATTTATTTTGGTTTGGGGGCTTCACCTGGCAGTGCTCAGGGTTTTTTTTTCTGGTTCTGCACTCAGCAATTATTCCTAGCAGTGCTACATATGGGATGTCAGGCATCGAACCTGGGCCAGCCTCGTGCAAAGTTCACGTCCTATCTGCTGTACTATGGTACCCGCCCTCATTTTAATGTTAACAATATTGGCGGGGTTCAAGTCCACCGCCACATATACAGAATAATAACAACAATATTAGGGTCAGAGATATAGCTCAACTGGTAGAGGGCCCCAAATTCCATCAGACACCCCTGAGCACTGCCGAGAGTGGCCAAAGTGGCCCTTGAATACCACAGAATGAGGCCCTTATAAAAAAATTAAAATATGGGCCAGAGAGATAGTACAGCAAGTAAGGCACTTGCCTTGTATGTAGCTGACCGGGTTTGGCCCTACATGGTCCCTGAGCCCTGCCAGGAGTGATCCCTTGAGCATCACTGGATGTGATCCAAAAAGAAAACCAAACTTCAAATAGGGACTGGGGTGGTCGTACAGCATATAGGGCGCTTGTTTTGCACACAGCCAGCCTGGCCCCATGCCCAGCACTGCCCCATCCTTTGGAACCTCCGGCCACAGCATGCCGAGGACATGTGACTCTGGTCATTTCATAGGCCGCAACCCCTGACCTAAAAGGCATTATTTAGTATGCTATTGGGATTCTTATTATTTTAATTTTTATTTGTGTGAGGGTCACACCCAGCGGTGTTCAGGGCTTACTCCTGGCTCTGAGCTCAGGGATCAGAACGGGTGGGGCGGGGATCACACCAGGCGAGGCCGCAAGCAAGGCTAGAGTCTCCAGCCCTTTACCAACTCTCCAGCTCTCCAATAACTTTTGTTAATGAGACAGAGATGGCTTGGAAGCTTTCGAACCAATACAGAGTGTTGATGCCTTGAAAAACACGAGGTGGGGGCTGGAGTGATAGCACAGCGGGAAGAGCGTTTGCCTTGCACGCGGCCTACCCGGGTTCAATTCCCAGCATCCCATATGGTCCCCCAAGCACCGCCAGGAGCAATTCCTGAGTGCATGAGCCAGGTGTGCACTGCCGGGTGTGACCCCCCCCCCCAAAAAAAAACGAGGTGGGGCTGGAGCGATAGCAAAGCAGGTGGGGAACTTGCTTTGCATGCAGCCACCCTGATTTGATTCCCAAACCAGGTTCAGTCCCCGATCTGGGGAGATAGTATAGTGGGTAGGGAGCTGGCCTTGCAGGTTTAATCCCCAGCATCCCAAATGGTCCCCTGAATATGCTAGGAGAGGTTCCCTAGCTCAGAGTCAGGAGTAACTCCCGAGCACTGCCAGGCGTGGACTCCAAACAACAACAAAATAAATAAAAACGAGATCAGGGGCCAGAGTGACAGTACAGAGGGGAGGGCCTTGCACACAGCCAACCTGACTTTGATCCTTGGCATCCCATATGGTCCCTTGAGCATTCCCAGGACTAATTCCTAAGTGCAGAGTCAGGAATAAGCCCTGAGCATTGCCGGGTGTGACCCAAAACGAAATAAATAAAAATGAAAACACGAGTTTATGAGCAGGGGAGGAAGATGGGCTTGGGGGTGGTGGGTGCCTGGCACCTCCAGAGGTAACTCATGAGCACCGAGCACTGCCAGGTGTGACCCAAACATCACAAACAACAACAGCAAGGGAAGAGATAGCCTCACTGATGCCTCTTTCTCCCATGCATCATCGCCTTTGTTAATCACGAGGGGGAAGTGAACAGAAGTCTTCTTGTTCTGGAACAACAAAAGCCAGAGGAGAAGATCCCGCTCAGATATGATTGCAGGAGAAAAACTGAGAAAAGAAAAAAAATAAGAATAATTCAAAAATAGAGTTGCTGATCATTCAGTACAAGCAAGAAACACACAATATTTTTATAAATTAGTGCTTATTTTATTTATTTATTTATTTATGTTTTATTTTTTCCAGCCATATGCAAGATAAGCTTCTTAACACCTGTACTATCTCGCTGTTCCCCACATCAGAAAAAAAAAATTTGTTTTTTCATCTTGCTTTATTTTCACCTTTCCCGAGGCTGATAGTACTTGTGCCCACCAGGGGGCGCTGGAGTGATCCAGGGGAAATGGTAACCTGCGTGCCGTTTGGGGCAGAATGCTTTCTGGTTAAGTCAAATAAGGTAAATTTACAAGCCAGTCGTGAGCAGTTTTTTTTTTTTTCTTTTTGGGTCACACCTGAGGGTTACTCCTGGCTCTGCATTCAGGAATCACTTCTGGTGGTGCTCAGGGGACCATATGGGATGCTGGGAATCGAACCCGGGTTGGCTGCGTGCAAGGCAAATGTCCTACCTGCTGTGCTATCGCTCCAGCCCCTGAGCAGGTTTTTTTTAACACTCTTCAGGAGTCAGGGGAATCACACCCAGCGATGCTTAAGACTTACTCCTGGCTCTGTGCTCAGGAATCACTCTTGAGTGGGACTCAGAGGGACCACATGGGGTGTTAGAGACCCAACATGTGCCCTAACCCTTACTTTCTCTCCAGCCCAATTTTTCAAATTTTTTTTTAAATTTTTAAATTTTATTTTAAAATTTATTTTAATGTAGGAGTATTGCTATTTATTCAGCCATTGATTAGGCTGATTGAATTGTCCAGCCCAATTTTTTTGTTTGTTATTTTGGATTATATTCAGTGGTGCTCAGGCCTTCCTCCTGGCTCTGTGCTCAGGAGTCACTCCTGGCAGTGCTTGGAGGATCACAAGGGATGCCGGGGATCAAACCCGCATACCCTACGTGCAAGATAAGCGCCCTCCCCGCTGTACTAGTCTTCCAGCCTTCTTCAGCCCAAGTTTTTTCCTCCCTGGAAAGGGAGCAGCGGATCAAATAGGTTTGGCAGCCTCTGTTCTAGGCCAGGGTTCTCTTTGGTTCTTCTCGTCTGGAAGGTTCACATTATGTTCACAGAGAAGTGAGGCCTCAAGGAGAAAAACTCCCATTTCCGCTCCAGCTCAGATGCCCATTTT